ACATGCTACTTCAGAGCTACAAAATGTTTTGTTAAGAAAACGAAAATTGTATGTTCATCCAATAAGAGAAGAGGAAGTTAATGCAGTTAACAAAACAGAAGTGAACTGTACGTGATTAGTAGGACATTTAACTCTACGACCGATCATTTCCTGTATAAATTCACCCACTCGTTAGCCCCAATTTCTTTCCATAATTTATCACCATATTTTAAATCACCAACGTTACACAATAATATTAGCATTAGTTTTTGAAGCATGTAAGCACTAGATAACTTTCGGAAACTATATTTTCTTATTATTAGATGTCACTTCATAGTTAATCTAATATTTATTTACATTTCCTAATGAACAGTTTGAAACATAATGTTGAAAGTTTTTACCACACGAAGCAATAGAAATAGCTACATTTTAATTCAACAATGATCTCTTTTATTTTAACAACAAAGTTCTACAGATAGATTTTTGAAACTCAAATAGGCTCCCTTATATCACCCTTATTTGCAGATTTGGCAATAGAAGATATAAAGAACCAGAACTTGATGACCATATAGAAAGGTGCATGTCTCGTTATTTCATGAAATATATGTTGATGATTCTCTATTACGTAAATATAAAAATAATGCTAATTGACTTTTAAATGTTTTTTAATCAACAGGATTAAAATTCAAAATTTACGTATAAAATTCGCTTTAATAATAGTTTGAACGCTTAGGAAATTTAATAGAGTCATTCCAGTTTCAAAGTTTTTTTTTAATTGGTTTGTAGAACCAATATTGTCTTATTGTCTGAAAAAAATCAAACTGTAATGTTTTAAGAATTTTGCATACAAATAACTGTAAGCAGCTACTTACGAACTAGTATATCAGTTTACTTATATATTAGTATTTAAGAAAAAAATATACTTAGACCCTTTTTTCTATCATGTTTCAAATCATATACTTGGGATGTTGAACAAAACTAATCTACTAAATACTCCCTCACTCTAAATAAATTGAACGAAGTGATCACACTAGGTGAAAATTTGGTAAAAGATATATTATCAGACTTATGTTAAACGTGGCTTTAAGTATAATAACTGACCAGGAGTGAGCACAAACAAAAACAGATTAAACAAGGATTTTGAAGTCACGTCTACGTGTCATTTTTAAAATTCCTATCAAAATTTGATTTTTAAAACTTTGGACATTAGAAATAATCATCAATGCCACTTTCAATTGAAAGTAAGATACGCACTCATTTGAATTTTTTTACAACCCTATAATGTGCGTTGAAAGGGGCTAATTCTTTTATCTACTTTTATTGTTCTTATAATTAATATTATTACTATTATTAATTTATAATTCGTGGATACGAACTTTTAATGCAGACAAATTCATACCAACAGACCGTTTCAACAACGGATCATTTGCAGACGACAAATTTTTTTATTTACATGCACTTTTATACCGATGAAACGTTTTAAAAATTCTAGCTTTGTGCTTAAGATGCTTTGGTCTTGATCTTCAAAATGGTATTGCCTGAAAAATCAAGCAGAAACAGAAGAACTAGGTAAGATGGGTAGAAAAATTAAAGTAAACAAACCTAATCTGTTCTTAAAATGTTTAATGTTAACAGTTCTAGTACTCAGTGAAAAGAAAATGAGGTACAATTTGTTTACACCACAATTACATTGTCATCCGTAAATGGAATTTTTTTCAGAAAAAATTAATTAACCTATCTAAAAATCAACATTTATTTTAAGCCACCACCAACAAAAAAGCAAATTCAATAAAAGCGTGTTACGTGGGAAAGACATTGGTAAGGAGTTGCGTTGCGAGAATGACCAACAATATGAGTCAGTATGATGTGCCCAGCATATCGTACGAAACACGTGCAAAAAGTAAAAAAAGTTTTTTTTCAAGAAATCTAATACATTAGAAAAAACTTTTTACCACCTCAAGATCATCTGCAAAACTCCTCGCCACACACCACTCGAGCCAGTTTTCATTTCGCCTGCACAATCAAAAAACAAGTAAATAAAGCACTCTAGCCTTTTTTCAAACAAAACTTGAAAAGCTCCTCACTGCGTTTTTCGAAAAAACCTCTGCACTCCACACACGCGAGCATTTCCACGTCGCTCGAGCTCTTTGTGTCTGAAACACCTGTATCTCCTTTTTCCCTCCCTTTTTCTCGTTATTTTTGCATCGTTGAATGCGCACTTATAGACACATTCTTCTCGTTCTCGCGCCCCTCCAATCACGAAAATGCGAATCTCCCTGTGTACACCCAAGAGCGATTCCGTAAAAAATCCGTCGTGTGTCTTACTAAAAATGAAAGATGTACACATGCATTTAAAAATAATTTGAAAGGTAATTGTGACACCCAGTAAATTTTTTTTTTTTTTTTTTTAAATAGTTCCAAGTGTACCACACTTTCATTTGGGAAAACAAGAAATCTTAAGCATGCCAACAATTTTTTCGAGAAATCGACAAATGTGATCTGTCTAGACGAGACGGGATTTAGAAAAAAAAGTCTTACGACTGGGACTGGAAATGTTTTCGGATGAGATGCGAAAGCCCAAAAAAATTCTTGTTTCACATCTCAGAATAGCACAGTTCTACTAAGACAAAGTGAGAATATCAATACTTTGATGTCATGTAAGCAATCAATTTAGATTTTAGTTAAGAAAAACAGCTTATTTGGAGAGTTTTTTTGCTATCAAATTTTTTAGCAACATGTCTGCTGCTGTTTGATCTACGAGCATATAGTGGAGGGAAACAAATGTACTAAATTGACGCTAAACTAAGTGTGAAAAAACATAATTTGCCACTCGAATTCAGTGATTTTTTCAATAAAGCCATGACATTTTTTCAAGCGACACGCAACGGATAATTTTCCGTAGAACTGCTCATGCATCGACTCCGCACCGACACGTTTTTCCCCAAGGCGTTATCGACGCGCATCGCACGAGGCGAGCGTATACAATTTTTCCACCACACGTAAAAGGGACTCGCGCGCGTCTTTATGGCTCTATACCTTCGCAACGCGCGCGAACGTCCGTGCGAGAGTCGGCCGAGATGGCGCGGAATGAGAAACGATCGAACAGGCTGATTATCGCATCTCATTGATGCCGCGGCCGTGAGATGGGAATACTTTGTTAAGCCCCTTGGCTTTTGCTCTGTAGCCTTTTACACCGGACCGATGAGATTCCTTTGAGACTTGCCTTATTACACGTTCGTTTGAAATAATTTTGTTTTGATGGTCTGTAGTTGAGGGTTTTGGTTTTTTTTTTTTTTTTTTTGGAGCAAAATAAGAATGGAACTTTGTTCGATCTTACTTTCCAGAAGGTGATCGGTACTGTATGAGTCTCTATACGCCTGTATGGTTAAATCGGAGGTCCAAAGAGGACGATCGCGTATGGTTTTGTTTTTTACCCATCGGATTTCTAAAAAAATGACTCGATGAAAAAACTATCAAAATTGGCTGCTATTTTCCGCAGTTAAATAAAAAAAAAAAAAAAAATCGTAAGTTGCATAACCATATGCGTGGCAGGACAACTCAACGAAGTACCTGCAATGGATTTTACGTCATCATCAGTGGTAATACACATTAGAACAATATCAACGCCACCAAACTTTTACATCACGCCACTCACAACAGCTTTAAAACATTAAAAAATTTCATGGATTTGTGCGTTGGTACGAATAAATAAATATCGGTGAACTCAAAAAACGTGAAAATTAATTAATAAAAATTATCTCATCGCAGTATCATTTTCTCAAGGTCTTTCAACGTTTTTGACTTACAAAACAGTAATTATTTATGCTACCTTTAGCAAACAGGAGAATACGAAATAATTAACGATGATAACATATGTGTATTGTTATGAGAGAATAAAAAAAATGTGTATGAAATTACCGTTACATTGTAATGTAAGTATATTTTCTCTCTATATTTTTTTCACAATAATATGACTTGTCACCTTCTTTTTCAATTTTATTGAAAGCACGTTGAATAACTGGTTGCAAGTATCTTGTTAAAAAATAATTTATGAAGAAAAAAACAGTGAAATTTTTAGATGATATGGTCATTTAATGGATTGAAAAAAAAAAAAAAAGTTCTTATCTTATAAAAAAAATTTTTTTCCCGATACATTTTTGAGAAATTGTTACTCACAATTTGAGCCAAAATAAAAAAATAAAAAAAAAATTAGTTAAAAGTCACTGGCCAATACATACATTTCCATAATACTGAATAAAGAAGCATAATTATTTTTACGAAATGTAATTTTTGGTGGAGTAAAGCCAATTACAAATAGCTGTGTGAAGAGGCTTGTACTCGTTCTGTTGATAGGGACAATTTATTTAATGTTTTTAAAGTGAAGCAAAAATTTTAACCTATTAGTCAGTGCTTTATGTAATTTTTCTCTAACTTTAAAAAGTTTTTATTCACCGGAAAGTTATAAAAATTCTTAAATATTTATCGTGTCCAAGAATTCTATTTTTTTCTCGTTATTTGTTAGCTTTTTGTATATGTATGACCTATATTTATTGCGATTACGCTGTTTAAAGAGATTCTGCTTTAAAAAAAAAAAATGAATCAATTTTGACGTAAATGCATTGTCATGTGATGATGTTCGTTAGAGCGATTTGAAATGTAGTGATTCATCACATAATCCTTTTCATTCAAAACTAGTTTACATAGCATTGCATAAGTTTGGGAAGTAACTAGTATTTTAGGTTATCAATTTTTTTTTTTTTTTTTATTGTGGTATTTTTAAATACTTCAAAAAGTTAAATTAAGAGTATTTTCAAGTATATACGTATTTATCAAGAGAAAAATTCGTGAGAAAAATTGTCTAACTTATCTGAAATATAAAAAAGAAAACCAACACTCTGTTCAAACTTTATTTTTACGCTTGGCCGTACTTGCTAAGTGAATGTCAATTATGAGCATTCAAAGGAAGTTGGAGTATAAAAACTACCAACTCTGGCCAAATAAAGTCAATCCACCTCTGGAGACTTTATACCGAAACATCACTAGTGCAGTTATGATGCTGAAAATACGCATCATATTGTGAGAGAAAAAAAACAATTTTATGGGTTTGATATTGAAACAAAGAAGAGAAAATATTTGTAAGAATTATACGAACTTTTTTTAGTGTCCACTTACTTGGGAGTATCGTCGTAGCCAGTCCAATTTTCAATGAGGGTGGAAAAATGTGCGACAGCGAGCGATGCAAACAAAGTGGTAGGTCTTGATTAAAAGTCGAAACCCTCATTTCATTAATCGCTCGTTTTTTAGCGGAAATAATCAAAGGCCTCATTAATAAAGAGGCAGATCCTTGCAACAACTTTTACAATTACGTGTGTGGTAGCTGGGCGGCCAACTACCCAATTCCAGATGGAGTTGATGTTTGGAATTCCGAAAAAATCGTGGAAAATAACGTTAAATTCGAGGTGAAAGGTAGAAAAAAATAGCTTTTAGTAAAACACATTAATTATCCACAATTTCTTGATGCTTCCACTTTGTCGTTTCATTCCGACACCATCAGATATATTAGAAGGAGATGACGAGGAGGACAGCGACAACTTCCTTCCTTTAAAGTACGAAAGATTGTGGTACAGATCATGCATGGATTTGGGTAAGTGTCTACGCCTGCTCTTGGAAACGACAGAGATATGTGAAAATTTAATTTTCCAAATCGGATATCTCAGACCAAATCGAAGAGGATGGTATGCAAGTACTGAAAACGCTGCTTGGCTTCTTTGGAGGTTGGCCAATCGCCATGAACGTTAGTGAGTGGGGTGACGAGGACCACGATTGGCAAGGCATTCACGAGTACTACTCTGGGTTCAAGGATCTGTCACCGATATTTGATATTGTGGTGGCACCCGATGACAGAAACGCAAGTCAAAACGTTATCAACGTATGTTGCACTAAACTACGTTAGAAACATCAGTTAGTATAAACACCTATTGCTTAAATATGATTTGCAGTTAAATAAGCCTACCGAAACGCTGTACGATCACCTGCTGGAAAACGAAGGTGAAGATGGTGCCAAGCAAAAGTACCTGGAATTTATCAAGGGGGTCGTTTCGGCACTCACCGTGGACCATAGCCTCTCGGATGAAGATGTCACGAAGGATGCTGAGAATATTTTGGTGTTCGAAAGGAGCTTGCATCAGGTTGGTATAGAAGGTATTTCTTCAGCTGTAAAAAATAACCATTCTATTGTTTTAGATTAAAATAACTGCAAACAAAAGCGAAAACCTGGAGCCTTCTCGTACTTATATGAGCATAAAAGATTTACAAGGTTTTTACGACAAGGAGGCCCAGACAAGCCCAACAGCCAGTGTGAGTTATCATCGATATTTTGAAAGGATCACTGTCAATGCGTTATTTGTGACGAACATTTGTATCAAATGGATACTTTTGTTTTTTAGATTGACTGGCTAAAAGTGATTTCAGTTGTCTTCGAGGACCTTGAAAATATTACCTTAAATGATTCAGAGGATATAGGAATCGAGGATATCTCTTACTTCCATCAACTAGCTCAATTACTTAACGAAACTCCAAACCGAGTGATAGGTAGCGTATGATGTAATAATAGCATCCATGGAATTTCGCGTTTTCCAAGTAAATATTTATTTTTTTGCAGTTAACTACGTCCATTGGAAGTTTGTGGCATCGTCGATTAAGTACACAAATAAGGTAATGCGTGATTTGTACTTCCAAGCTATAACGAAGGAAGGTGACTTTGAGAAAACCATTGAAAGGTAGGTTGCTAGGTTAGTAACAAGCAATGTGTTTGATAATACAACGTTCGATCTTAATAGGTGGGAAGAATGTATTGCAGACATGAAGTTGGGCATTGGCTACAGGTACGAGTACGTCAGTCGGCACCTATCTGAAGAGACGAAAAAAATGGTATTGTTAAAACGTACTAGACGACGCATGAAAGACAACTAGATCTATTGTTAATTGTAGTGCACACCCTAGTTGCTGAATTATTAAGAAGGAAGAAAGAAGTAACAGAAGACAAGTTATACCCAGTTCATGTATTTTTCTGGTGCAGGTAACGGATATAGCCAGCGACATGCGGGGAGAAATGCTCGACGAGGTGGGACGCTCAAGTTGGTTGGACGACGAAACCAAGGAACAAGCAATGGTGAAGCTTCACTCTCTCAAGTGGCATATCGGAGTTTCCAACTTCTACCTTAAACGGGAATTTATTGAACATATTTATGATGGAGTGAGTTTGTCAAGTTTTCGCTTGGGAGGAAAAAAGATAAAAATTCTTTCGCTTTTTTTAGTTTATGATAACGTCGAACTATTTGGAAAACGAGCTCAACGCTCGTGAATTTTTAGCTGATCGTAATCTAAAGCGTCTTAGGCATCATCAAATTTACAGCCAGTAAGTATAATCTGAAATATCTGTAAAATTAAGACAAAGTGGGGATTATAAAATTGATCAAAATGGTTGTAGCGTTAAAATTGATCCTCTGGAAGCCAAAACTTCGTATGATTCTTCTCGAAATATGCTTGGTAAGTTCATTAAATTATGTAAAGATGTTCTGAATCCTTCCGGGTAATATATATTGTTATGTCTGTGGTTATTTCAGTCGTGACTGCGGCTCAGTTATCCGTTCCTTGGTTGCACTCATCTTTACCTCCGTGAGTATTCATTGTTATTATTTCTCATACGTCAAGAAAGGGGCACTATAGTAGAAAACAGAGAAGTCAAATTCGTTAGATCTTTTTCTTTTGTAATAGCTCAGTGAATTATGGATACCTGGCTCCTAGTATGGGCCAATTGATGTCACGGACAATGGAAAAAGAAGGTAACGTACATTTTTCTATTCAAACAAAACTGTAATATCTTTCAACTTGATGGATAAAATTTTAACGACTAAAATACAGTTATTTTACATTGGTTCAGTTAACACAAGTACATACATCCCTCCATGGTCCAAGTATAATGGTGACATGTACAAAACATATGACTCTAAGACCGACTGCTTGACCAAACAGTACTACAACTACTCAGTAAGTTAAATGTGAGAGTATCAATGCAAGCAAAAGTGGTATTTAGAACTTTAATCATGAGTCAAAAACTTTCGAACAATGGCCTATTTGCTTTTTACATCTGTTAGTTATGCAAAACCTTGATTTTTTTCAGGTTGGACCATCGACCACGGACGAGAATATGTACGATGCAATTGGACTGAAAGTGGCCTACCACGCTTTTCAAAACAGTTTTGGATATGAAAGTGTCGAGAAACTACCAAACTTAGAGGACTTCAGCAACGACCAGCTATTTTTTATCTCTTTTGCACTCGTGAGTTGTAGTTTTTTGGTTTTTTCTTCTCTTACGACACGCACAGAAATGAAATTTGAATCAATTTAACCAGTGAATTATAACAAGACATTTAAGAACATAATATTATGACAAAGTTTTCAAGTACGCTGTCATTTTTTTGACTTATTTTAAAAAAGATAACAACTTTTAACGCATAAAAAACCATAATGTGGTTGACTACAAAGATGACCTTACAAGTATAATTAAAACAATATTAGTAGATCAAACGAAAATTCATTTAAATCATAAATATCAAGTGGCAGAATACCAGGCAAGTTGGAGTAACAGATGACGCAAGACACGATAGCTATTATACATTAAAATTATGGCAACCAATTTCCTGCATTAGAAAAAAATAATTCAACAACTTATGATCCAAATATAGTTTTTCAGAATTTATGAAGTTTGACATTGTTAACATTGTTTTTAATAATACATGAAAGTTTTATATTTATTCAATGTACTTAACACACCCACACACACTATAAATAAATATCTTTTAATTCTGTGTTATGCAAATTAAAAGGATTATTCATCGACATATTCGAGGTGGGCCCCGTAGATAAGGTGTTAGTTCCAGTTACTGCCGCATGATGTTTTTTTACATGATAGAATGGTGCTCAATTTTTATATTTTTCATTTGAACACATGAAATGGTTAAGGTTTTATTTTCAACTTTAGCCAATTCATTCACATTTATACGGGCTCTTCGGAGCTAGTAGTCGAAGGTTACCTCGAATCAGTCATTATTGGACTTTACACCGTATAAAAAAACGCACAAAGTTTGCCTGATATGTCTAGTGTATATAGGAACATACATTTTTTTTATTTTCACAGAAATATTGTCAAACTGAGACAGAAAAATACCTAACGGAGCACCCTTCCACGTTTTACACGCCAAACAAGTACAGAGTCGTAGGAACGCTGTCGAATTTTCAAGATTTCTCCGATGCCTTCAAGTGTCCTCTGAACAGCCCAATGAACCCTGAAAACAAATGTATCGTATAAAGTTAGAAAAAGATTATAATAAAACCGCGTGTAAAATGACTGAGTACGCTAATTGCATACTTTCAATAAAACAATGATTTTGTGTGCTAACACTCGTTAGTTCATAAAAAATTAAAAATTTTACTTTGTTATTCTCGAACACTAAGTATTAAGACAGTTATTTTGAACCCCAATTCGTGAATTCATGCTTTTAGAGCCAAAAAACTATTATTAGTGCTTGTAATGATTACTCTCACTTTCAACGGTACGTGATACATACATACACGTGCGCGCAACTATTATAAATATTGAATGAAAGCGTGCAGGTGAGGGAACAATAAGGACGTTCTCAATACTCTCATCGCTCTAACATACACGTGAATGTAAGTGTAAGCTTATTCGATGGAGGACGGACATCAAAAGTGGTGGGGTGTTAGTATTATTAACTATGAGCCGAATTGTCTTGGTCGTCGTTGCATGCTGGAAGCGTGAATAAATTGATCGTGAAATTGAGATACGGCACGAGCTAACTCGGCGTTTTTGCAAGTATGAAATGCAAAAGAGGTGTAAAAAAAAGGAAAAAAAAAAAAAAAAAAAATAGGACGGTATTCCGGCAATGTAATGTGCAGCATATGACTTTAATAGTAGACATGATTTTATTTTCTGGTACGAAAAATCTGTATATCAAAATAAAATATCAAATGTTTAAAAAATGAGAGAAATTTTGACACTACCATAAAGCTTAAAAAAATTTTTATGGTTGTAAGAAACACCTAACTTACATTAGATTAAAACTGTGTAGCGAATTTATAATTTGAGGATTTGTTACACAGGACAAGCTTCCTGACATTTGAAAAGTGAATCGAATAAGTGAACATAGAAGTGGTTGTAAATATTTGAAAGAAAAATCAGTAATAGCAGATCGTATTAAAATAACCAACCACTCATTCAATTTGGATACAGTAAAAACATTAGATACAGAAAGTAATCAATTTAAACGACTTTCCTCTAAAATGTTGCGCATCCATTCTGACCCTAACAACATCAATAGAATACTGGATACGAATAATTAAAAAATTCTTTATAAAGACCTAATCAATGGAATTGATTAAGATATTTGGATTGTGACTGAGTGATCTCATGTTACAAGTTTTTAATTTAAAACCAAGTTTTGGTATTGTAATTACTCTTACTCAAATGTTAACCGACGCGTACATAAAACATAGCATACATATATGAGTACCGCCTATACAAGAACTAGCTAAATATCAAAGTATTGTATTCACCGCCTTGCCATCTTGCGTGCTACACATAGTCTCTAGTGTGATGATTGTAAGTGTTAGCTATAGCACAAATTTAAAATATAATTTTTCTTTTTGAAATATTTGTTACATTACGTTTTGCGTGTTTTGTGTTTATAGAAAATTTGTACCTGACGAGGGCCTTGTTATTCATAAAGCTGTACGGGCCGAAACGTCGAAAGTTATCTATATCAATAAATACCATTACCACTCGAGTTATTATTTTTAACATTAATTTTAACTTACAATAGTATACAAAGCTCACAATAACGTAAATACATTATAAAATATAAGAGACCTTAGAAATATGCTAACCTATTATTGGTTTCACAAATTTCACTTTCTTTAAGAATAAATTATAAAAATGTATAATGACCTTTTACATGAATCAGCAATTAGTTGAGGATTAAAATAAAAAATAATTATAATGCAGAAAGCTCTTGAGATTCTTTTTTTTCTATTGACAAAATTTTGTTCTGTAAGTGTAAAATAAATATAAATTTGCTTGTATCATAAAGTTTTAAATATGTTGTACAGAAGAAATCGTATATTACAATACATTAGTGCAGCCGTGAAGGGCACGATAGCCGTACGTTTGTGCCTGACTGGCGTTTATTTTATATTTTTACTAAGGAAGCAAACTATTAGCTTAACAAATATGTTTTATAAATTATTCATCTAAACATGCCTTACGAATTGTTCTAGTTTTTAATCAAAATATAATGAAAACGTGTCCAGTAATTACCAAGATCAGCACGTACAGAGATCTCGACTTAGATGGAAAAATACTGGTAAAGGATATCTATTCGTAATATATTGCAATAACTTACATTTTTTGAGATTTGATCATTTTTTTATTACTAATTTTATTCCTGAAAAAACACTTTATTCATATGTATTACTGGATTAGCCTACAGTACAAAAATGCTTATGATACGTTAATAGGATACTTAAAACGTAGTAATCAGATTGTGATAAAAAAAAGTTAACAATTTTATTTTGTATTTTTATCTTATAGTTAAAATATGCACCTTTTATGCATGAGGTCATACAATTTTTCGTCAAGGATTAAATCATATATAGTGTTATTCAAATACACTACTTTACGTATACTATGAACCTACATACTTGCAAAACATTTAATGTGCGATGTTAATTTATTTAATTTGTATAATCATTGAAATATAAAAATAAAATTACAGTCTAATTTTACCTCGAAACTTACTTCTATTAATTTTAAACGTATATATTATCGTACGTAGTGTCTATCAAGATAACGCAATTAGTCTCATATCCATCATTTAATTTGATACGTACATCACTTGATTACAACAATCTTATCTACCACGAGCTGTTTCGAATCACGTATTTAAAAAGATATCCCGTTAAGTTTTTTTCTCAACACAAAAATATCATTTTTCAAGCTTGATTCCCCCACGTTCGAGCGCATGCCATCATCTTGTGCACATCGAAGCGATTCATATTAATAGAAGCATTCAAGGAAAACTCTTCCACTTCAGTCTCGCTCGAGCCGGGCTCGTACATCCATCACTTCGCAGTGCAAATCCAAAACAAGCGCTATAGTACCAAGTGTATCTTTACTTAAAAGTGACTCACAGAGTATTAAATATATACTCACTTGTTAAAAAATGGATTTCTGGATTTGGTGTTCTTTGATCATTCCGATACTTGTATACACAGTTACCAAAGTGTTTAGCCAACTGTGCTACTTCTCGAAATGGGGGATACCACACCCACTAGAGTTACCGATCGTCGGTGTCATGCACATGCTGTTCCTGCCACGCCGACACGTAAACGACTTGATCAAGTGTATCTACAATACAAACAGGCAGGCTAAGTACGTTGGGGCCCACGTGTTTCTGTCATCAACGATTTTCGTTCGCGACCTCGATCTCATTAAGTCCATCCTCATAAAGAACTTTGACCACTTTGCTGATCGCAAAACTTTCGTCGACGAGAAGGTGGACCCACTCTTTGGACTTAACCTCAATTTCTTAAATGGTGATCGCTGGCGTGAAATTAGAAACATACTTAGTCCTTCCTTTACATCAAGCAAGATGCGATCGATGTACGCGCTTATGTCGGACTGTGCCAAAAAGTTTTCCGATGCTTTCATTAAGATTCACAAAGACGAGGATGACATAGATATCAAAGACGCGTTTTCCAAGTATACGAACGACGTTATCGCTAGCTGTGCGTTTGGAATTGAAGTGGACAGTGTTAACAATCCTAATAATGAGTTTTATCTCCGTGCCAAGGAAGTAGCTGTTTTCAAGGTATCTTGATTTCTGATACACGTTTCATAATTTTTATCATTAATTTTCCTTCCAGTTAAGGAATAGTGTTTTTGTAAAACAAAGTGAACGTGAAGTTAAAAAATGAGCAAAAGCTTTGTCAACAGTAGATAAAGAAATACAAAAGATTCTGATTAAACATAAATAGCATTGAGAAAAAAAACCGTAACAATGGAATCTCGTCTTATACACAGGGTTCCACGAACCTTAAGCTTCTTCTGGAGCTACTGTTCCCAGATCTGACTAGGAAATTTGGCATGCGAATCGTATCGAAGAGACTGACCGATTTCTTTATCAACGTGATCGATACAACAATAAAAGCCAGAGAGGAGAAGGGAATCGTCCGACCCGACATGCTCCAACTGCTAATGGAAGCCCGATCAACAATGTCCAAAGAGAGAGCAGCCAAGTTTAACCTTACTGAGATGACAGCTCAGGCTTTTCTATTTTTTCTTGCGGGTTTTGAAGCCAGCGCCACCCAGAGTAGTCTCATGGCATTCGAGATGGCTCTGAACCCCGATGTCCAGTCCAGAGTTCAAATCGAGATCGACGAGGTGATGTTAGCAACGAAAGGTAGGCCGACCTATGATGCGATTGGTAACATGACATACCTAGATGCCGTGTTCAGTGAGACTTTGAGAAAGCATCCCATAGCCTTCTTGAATAGATTGTGTTCAAAAGAGTTTGAACTGCCACCAGCAATACCTGGGGCTAAACCTTACAAAATGACACCTGGTATGGGTATCATGATACCAGTTGCCGGCATACATGCCGACCCTGATCTATACGATAATCCGGACAAGTTTGAACCTGAAAGGTTCATCGGTAAAAAGTCAACTTCAACCGATGTGTCAAACTTGGGGTTCGGCATGGGACCAAGAATGTGCATCGGTAATCGGTTCGCCATTTTGGAAATAAAGGCACTATTCGTCTACCTGTTGGCCAAGTGTACACTTGTTCCTTGTGGAAAAACATGCATACCATTTGTTTACCAGAAAAACTTGTTTGCTGCAATGCCAGAAAATGGATTTTGGCTGAAAATTGAGCCAAGAAACAAAGCCTAAAATAGCTGTTAAATATTTGCTTAAATTGTTTTTTGTTAACTCGTTGCTTTATTGTTTGTGTAAGAAGATTTTCCAGTGCTGGTTTGAGGTGCAAGAGAAAAGAGCTTTTAACTATTTTTAGGTTGTGTACGCAAGTGAATCTCTTACATTGTAAGATTGCACAATTTTTATACTTTGAAAATTTTTGAAAACTTTCCATTGGAATGTTTTATGTATATATTTCTTAATGGATGTTCTATTATTCATTATACTTTAATAAAGACTTCATTTTGAAATCAATTTCTCATTAAANTGAAAACTTTCCATTGGAATGTTTTATGTATATATTTCTTAATGGATGTTCTATTATTCATTATACTTTAATAAAGACTTCATTTTGAAATCAATTTCTCATTAAAACCAATTACAATGACACAACAGAAAAATGGATTTTCATCATTTATTGTCTCCTAGGTGACCCGAGATTAATAATTATTATTAACGTACATTAATTCATCAACTGTAAAATTTTATATCAAAAAATGATAGTTGCTTCTTCCGCATGGTTATCGAAAAATAGATCTATTAAAATCATCACGTAAAATATTGTTATAACCTCAAAGGGCTATTTTATCCATGTTTGAGCCCTTACGGTGACTATAATAATGATTCAATCGTCACAGAGTTTTCTGTGATTTGTTATTGTATTCCAATATTGTGCACCTCTGTATACGTGTTCATGTAGGTATATTTATTCAAACACGAATTTTTCTACGTATTTTTGTGTCAATAAGTCAAACTTAAGACACAAATATTTAAAAAATAAAATGGCTGGGCTAAGATCGTTGAAGATTATGATTTTTTCTGCTTTACATCAGACTAAAAAAACTACCTTAACCAACCAAGAAGGCAATTGACAAGATACGCGAATGATTTTTGATAAATATTTATGAATTTCCACTCCATTCATAAATCTGATTTTTTTCAAAAACATCTTTGTTAAGTAATGCGTATTCATATCCCCAAAAGCATCATATGTTATTTAACGCTTATCCAATAAACCACCTGTTCGCCCGGACCTTTTCACCAGACATGCACGTCTGCACATAATACACGTGTATTCTATTTCATCGAGTGAAACACAGGGAGGCTCTTTTATCTCGCAATATAAAAAAAAAATAACAGTCTCGTGCAAGAGAAACGTCTCTCGAGAGTTAGACATCTCGCGTGTCGCGCATTCCTCTAGCTTGTGGTGTGCGTGTCTGCTTGTCTCCCCCTTTTTGTCTGTTTCTGTCTAGTTGTTTTACTACTTGCCGAAAAAAGATGCGCCAAGAGATAACTGTGTCACGTGGTTTAAGAGGCTGTTGAGATGAAAAGAGAAAGACGATGTCGTTGCCGTAGCTCTCTTGGCAATAATAATGTTGCTTGACATTTTTTTTTTTGCTTTGAATTTGATAACGTGGTGAAAGCTATTAGTCACACGAAATTCGTATTTTCATCGTAATATTTTAGTCTAATTGACTTACTACTGCAAGTTACGCACTTAAATTATTTCTCATGACTGGGTATTATTTTGTAAATCATTGGATGGAAAAAGTAAGATTACCTTAACAATTTTTGACATTTACGTATTTTTAAGTTAATGCCATACATACCCTTTTTCGAAGCAAGTGCTTTGCTGATTGTACATTTTATGCAAGCAGAAACGTTATTTACAGTAAAGGTTGGGAAAGTATGAGTAACAGAAGTTGTATCGAGAAAACAAATAAGTTAAGAAGCAAGTTACCATAGATCTAGGCAAGGACACGAGTAACTAAAACATAGAAACAAAGACTACAGGATTTAGCTATTTCAAGGAAGAAGACGAGTAAAAAAGCCTTCGTATCTTATGTTATAAGGATTATAGTTAAAAAATCGAAAGATAACAATACACCGTAATCTTCCGTGACTAAGAAATATTGTTCCTTGCTTGTACTTATTTGCAGGAAGAATCATAACATCTGCAATAATGCTCCTGTGCAATCTTTGCACAAAAAAAAAACACTTACAGTTGTCGTTTAATTCACTATTTCAAACTATCGTGCAGAATCACCTGGACTATTCCACGCATTCTAAAATACTCGTGTAGAACTGCATGAATGGTTCGGCACTTGTGTAGATCTTGTATACTTTCAACACCCGACGAATTCTTCCAAATAATTCTTTTTAGAAAATTCAAGTGTTCCATTGCATTTGATCTATATAAATCTTAATCAAGGACAGGCATCTGCCATTTGTATCATTTACTATGTTGACGTTTGTGGTAAGTCATAAAGATATTTGTAAATGAGACTAGTGGACCAGTACTACCCAATCGTAAAATATCATCAAGTGTTGAATGAAATTTCCAGTTCCATTACATTCGTAAGAAAAAGCATTTCGGCACAAATTACCTGGAAGTGAATAATAGCTCCATTTGTATATCTGTTCATACAAGTACACAATCAAATCAACTGACATTTTATTATTTTAAGATTATAATCAAAATCTTTTGATAGACTTTACATATTCTAAAATTTCTCTGTTACGCCTTGTACATCAGCATCTCATTGCAGAAGACCTTACACGGTGCCATTACGCATTATTTCTTCAACTAAAATATTTTTTACATCGTTTCTCTCGTTATCTCTCGTAAGGATATATGTAACATTTACACAACTGTTTCTACTAACTGCTAGGTTTATAAGCATCGAGAGTTTTTTAAAGTACGCAAGAACTTTTTCAAACGTTTATAAGGTTCTGCACAAATTTTGGTTTAAAACTGACTGTCAATTGCTTAAGGTAGTCAACCTCTTTTAGAATCTAAAAAAGAACCGAGCAATATTCTCAACATTTTTGACTGCCCATAACTTTCACGTGAAATCTAACTTTTGAATGTTTTTCATCAAATAAAAAATATAAAACTTATTAAAATATAAATTTTTTAATACTATCAATTGTCATTAAAAATGAACTTAGAATTCATAGACTGAAATAGTGATTTACCATTTGGTCTCTAAATCAGAACGTGTATAATAATGTACGTGACAAGTCTTTTTATGCCACCAAAAAATTTATAAGAATATTATCTTAAGGGAGCCGAAAAAATTTTCTCAAAATTTTTAAATTAATCGGAAATTTAATCTGATCTCTGATAATGACAAATATTAGAAAATTTGTTAAGACATGATTGTAAGTTAAACAGGTCTTTTTTTTCAGGTCAAAAAAACTTAGCAAAATTAAACTATGTCAGACTTAAAGTAAGCAGAGCGAAGTAAAGTCTTTTAAAAAAAATGTGGCTTGACTTATCAAAGTACTTTTTACAACACAAAAATTTTTTTTCAAGAACCTACGTACAAAAAAAATGACCTCGCGCTTACCGAGTACAGTATTTTTTCTCGAAATCCATTTTTTAGAAGGGATGAATTTCATAATATTTTCTTATCATATTTTAAAAACACCGAATATAAAAATAATACAGTTTTGAAAAATAGTGTTGTGATTGTTTCAAAGCATAAAATAATGTACTCCAAAAATTTTCATTTAGTTTTCAAATTTTTCCGAAAAATGAAAATTTAGAGAAAAAAATCCAAACGAATCATTGTATTAGGTAGAAAAAAAATATACGCATGAAAAAAAACCGAATTATGAAGTAGTTACAAATAAAGTATGAGGCTATTATAATTATTATGCATTAAAAATTATTACGACTGACCTAAATTGATGGTTTGGCTGTTGATTGCATTACAGACCTTATCTAAAGGTGTTAATTAAAATAATAGTTGAGCCATAGCGCTTTAATTTATAGAAGGTTACTATTAACTTTGCAATCGTAAAAAGTTAAAAGCTAAAGGATTAATAATAAATTTTTCGGATTTGACCTTCTGTCTCATGCGAGTAAATTTGAAAAACCTAAAATTACATTTATCATATCGAAAGAGACAAGTTGTGGAAATGCCCATATCATCATTGAGTGTCATAAGTATTTATGGGCTAGCTGTACCAATGTGATACGGATAAGGTATTTTTGATTATAGCCATTTGGTCGAAAGCAGTCATTTCTTTATTAAAAAAAACTCTACTTTCAAACACAAAAGGACATGAAATGGTTTATTTCTTTTTTTGCTTCTTTTTTATAAAATAAAGAAGACTATTTAATCCTATTAATTTACAAAGTACATATTATTATCTTTATTTTTTTGAGTAAAAATAGCTATAAATTATAAATGGTCGCAAAGAAGCATATTACTTAGAAAAGCTTCTATTTGTGACGATAAAATAGTATCATAACATCGCAAAACATAAAGATATAATGTGATACAAAAAAATAGTAGTAATAGTAATCATAGTATTTTAGATTTTATTTAATACTCACAATATTATTTCAAGGCTCATTTGAGAAATTTGTCACAAACTTCCAAAGAAAAAAAAAAATTAAATTAATGGTAGTAATTCAGCACATATAATGTAAGCAATGTACTAAGGTACGAGTGCTTCATGAGAAATTATCTGAGATTGCATTTAGAGAAAAATTATTTTGTAAACTGCAAAAGAATCACTTACAGCATATTCTAGAGTAATTTAAAGGTTGAGAAATTCACAGGGTAAGTAATTATTGTGCATTTCATTAGTTTATGGGAAAAATTGGGGAAAAAAAAGGATTTACAGCACTTCAACTAGGATCTCATTGTTTGACCTTTTTAATATGTAATTTTTATAAAGAATGACCATCAATTAGTCTCCTTAAAGTTCTTACTAAGAGTGATCCCCTAAGAAGTTTCTTACAAAAAAGCTGTGAGGTTGACGACTGGATCCTTGGTGCAAGAAATTCGATTATTCAATTTCGGACTACGATGACAAGTCCTGACAAGTTCTGACATCAGTGGTGCTGCCATTTTTTTAACTGACTTGACTTTCAATGTAACTTCTCTATTTTTTGTAGTAATTTAACATCTTAACATTGAATTATATTTTATATTGAACATCCAGATAAGTATAATTCCTAAACCGTGAATTTACAATATATATTAACACAAAGTGTTAATTTTTCAATGTTATCAAAAGTTTCTTCTCAACCAACTGAAAGTTTAAGACCTTCCAGTTAGCCGTACAAATCATACTTGTATACGTATATGTATATATATATTATATACATTTGGGCAAGTATGATTGCTGATCTAGGTTTAGATTAATTTTTTTTTAATTGGTATAGTAATATAAGTAGTTAGTAACATAGTCGATTAAGATAAAATGGAAAGAAAAAA